TTGTTGGATTGCATTGCAGGAGATCCAAGCGGTAATTTTTGGTCATTGTCGCATTTTTGTGTATAGAATTATACATAATTAGTTGTAAAACGAATAATTAGTTGTAAAATGACCAAGCTGGCTGATATTTACAAATAGCTGTAATCTAGTTGAGTCTCATTTTATTTGTAAAGTTTAACATACAAACTTAAACAAAATTAAGCATATGCTGTAATAAAGTGGTTATATAGCATGACAGTTTTTAGTCTAAAGTGCAATCACTACTGAAATAATTTTTGTATGAAGTTCATCTCTAAATTGGTTCAGAGATAGTGCTATTCTGAGAGAAAAGTTCATGAAGAAAATAACGACATAAGTAACTTCGGTAACAGATTTTGACCTTACCTTAATTCCACCTTTCTGAGAGAAAAGTCCATTAAGAACAATAGTTATCAGAAAGTTACCACCTTAAGTTTGAACAATTATCAGATAACCTGCATCATATGATACAGTTGACCAGCTGCTAATTTACTCTCTAGGTCTTTATTCTTTTTTGGTTAATTTATTCTCTTGTGGGTAATTACAAGTTTTATTGTGTTATATATCATGATTTATGAATCGAAAGTCGTTACCCCTAGTTTCCCGTCTAATAATGTTGGATGTGAATCTCTTCTGATATAAACTCACGTAATTCTAGTTGGATGTGAAAATACTTTTTACATCTAAAGAGAATAACGTGATTTATGTTAGGAGCATGATATACATGCAATAATTATTAGATCTGTCCGGGGAGGAGTCCCCTTCTCGTACAGGTTAGGAATACAGTAGTGTATCATCTATCTTTGTGTACTTTATGCATTTTTATTCCTTATAAATTTCGATAACACGTATCGTATTGTTCTCCGTGTACAATAAGCGTATGTTGTTTTGCGTATCGATCTATAATCGATTTATTATCGATGATTGATACGCATTATAACATCCGCACAGTGTACTCGGAGAACTGCGGGTAGGTGCTGCCGAAATTTTTAAGAAATAAAAACGCTTTAAGTATATAAAGGTAGTTGTAGACACTACTATATTCCTAATGGGATAGGTCCATTTCCTATGACAACCGTTAAATTGTCTTATTTCAAATATGAGCGTTAGATTTTACTCCCACATAATTTATGTTCTGGTAATTTTCCCTCCGAGATTATTATAATTAAAATTTCCCTGATGTCGTGAAGAAAGTTAATATCATACAACCTTTAATTTGATGCGTTACTAATAAAACTTAACATTACCTAATTATGCTTAATATCATATAGATCTATGAGGATAGTTCCGGACAAATCATGGATCGATATTCCTCGTATTGATAGATGGATGGATAGTCGATATAAAGATGGAATAAATCAATTCATACAGTACGCCTTGGCAGACCCACGAAAGTTAAATAGTGATGTCGTGTATTGTCCCTGCTGTTGGTGTAAAAATAGGGCGTTAGTGGATAAAAGTGATTTACAGAAACACTTAATATCAGGATTCCATGAGGAGTACAAATATTGGACGTTTCATGGGGAAGGATGTCTTGAAGAAATGGAACTGATGGCGGATATCGGTACTTCCGGTGGGAGAATAGATGATACGAGAATAGATGATACACATACGATGCTTGCAGATATGTTAACAGTTCCTAATATAGATCAATCTAATTATGCCGAGGATGCTGACGAGTCAGGAAATGCTGGAGGCGTGACTGATCATGAGGAGCTGGCGCAGATAATGAAATTAATAGCCGATAATGAAAACGATCTGTACGAGGGTTACACCGAGTTCACCAGGTTATCATTTATGCTGCGTCTTTTGCGTATAAAGTCTCTTAGCGGAATGGCTGATAAATATTTTAATATGTTGCTTGTGTTGCTGAGAAAAGTCATTCCAAATGGAAAAGATAGCATACCAGAAAATTATGATAACGCAAAGAAGATTGTTTCTGTTATAGGACTTGATTACAATAAAATCTACACATGCCCTAATGATTGTATCCTCTACTATAAAGATAACAAAGATCTTCAGGAGTGTCCAACTTGTGGAGTATCACGGTGGGTACAACGCAAAAATTATTCAACACATGGGACAACAAGGTCTATGCTTAAGCAAAAGAAGATTCCAGCAAAGGTCCTGCGTCATTTTCCCTTAATACCAAGGCTAAAACGGTTGTATATGAATAAAGACACTGCTAAGCAAATGAGGTGGCACATGGAAGAACGTACTAATGATGGTAAAATCAGACATCCGGCTGATGCAGAGGCGTAGAAGCATATGGATAGAACTTTTCCTTGGTTTGCGAATGAGTGCAGGAATGTTAGACTAGGTTTGCCTAGCGACGGATTCAATCCATTTGGGATAATGAGTTCTGGTTGGTCTACATGGCCTGTGGTATTAATGCCTTACAACTTACCACCTTGGCTTTGCATGAAACAACCGTATATGATACTTTCATTATTGATACCAGGCAAGCATGCACCAAGCAATGACATAGATGTGTTTTTAGAACCGCTAATTGATGAGTTAAAACAACTCTGGACTGAAGGTTGAGATGTTCCCTGCCGTCAGGTTTGGAAAGAAGCGCTATTCGAAAGAAGATTTACTTGGAGTAAGGAACTTGCGTATTAACAAAAGGATACCAAAACGAAAGAGACAAGCACAAGTGGTGAGTGATGGGGCTGAAGTCGTAAAATTACCTTCAGGATGGACAAAATTCAGCATTTTTTTTCAACTCCCCTATTGGAACGAGCTAAAAATAAGTCACAACTTGAACGTTATGCACATTGAAAAAAATATTTGTGATAATCTTTTGTCCACACTGTTGCAAGATGCTAATAAATCAAAGGATGATCTACGAGCTCGTCGAGATCTAACTGCATTGAACATTAGAGAGGAACTGCAGCCAAAAAATGTCGGAAATGACCGATTAGAGTTGCCTGCGTCTCGTATTACAATGTCGAAAGTTGAGATGCAAACATTTTGTCAAGTCCTCAAATCAATAAAGTTACCAGAGGGTTACTCCGCAAACATATCGAACTATGTCCAGGTGCAAGAAAGGAAAATATTAGGGCTTAAAACTCATGATTATCACGTGCTTCTTCATCAATTGCTACCTGTGGCACTACGCAGTACTATGCAGAATAAAAAAATAGTGAAGGTTATTATTGATTTTTGTGGATTTTTCAGAAAGCTTTGTTCTAAAGTTATAGACGCCCGTGACTTTGAGAAACTTGGAGAAAATATTTCTGAAATAATGTGTGAAATGGAGATGCTCTTTCCTCCATCTTTTTTCACAATAATGGTTCATCTTACACATCATCTCGCGGAGGAGGCTGCAATAGCAGGGCCAGTCCATTATCGTTGGATGTATCCAATAGAGAGGTTAGTATTTAGAAAAATTTAATCGTTACCTATTAATATTTATATCTATTAAATGTAAATTTCTTTACATCTATATCTGATTAATATTCCTTTTTTAGATATTTGGGTTCAATGAAGCGTCAATTGCGTAACAGAGCTCGCCCAGAAGGTTCAATAGCTGAAAGTTACGTGAGAAGCGAGTGTCTCTTATTTGCCTCTCGTTATATGAGAGGGGAACAAACTGAACTTCAAGCACCCGTTGATAATAAGGAGTACACAGTTCTCTATCCTCGCGGGCTGAACAAAAATTATTCTAACATATTGTTAGATCAATCGCATGCATATGTTATAAATAATCTTGAAATCTTCTCGGAGTTTCGGAGGTAAAATATCTAAAAATTCTTTTTAATACCATTTACTCTTTAATTTTTTATTTTGACAAAATTTTTATTTTGACAATAATAATTAAATTTATGCACATTAATAGGCAACATCAGAAAAAACTTAAGAATGAAGTTACCGGTAGTACAGCTGTACATGACATTAAAGAAAGGCATATGAAGGAATTCCCTGCTTGGTTGAATAGAGAAGTAAGTATTGTTAAATTTAGCGATATTTGTATTTCATTGAAAAAAACTTAGAAATGTCTTGATTTAATAGTTTGCTTATTTTTGTATATATTTAGATCCAGGAACAACTTGTCCTTAATAATCAAATATCAGAAGAATTGAAGGTTCACGCAAAGCGGCCTTACTATGCTGTAATTCAATATGGTGGGTATCATGTTAACGGTTATAAATTTCACACAATGGAGGTTGATGATACGAAGGTCACCCAGAATAGTGGTGTCATGGCTACCTTCTCACGGGAATGTTTCTCAAACAGAAGAGATCAGAATCCAGTTGAAAATAATATGACATATTATGGAAGGTTGGAAGATGTGGTGGAGATATTCTACGGCTATGGTGGTCCAAATGAACATAAATACATTATGTTCATGATTCGTTGGTGTTTTACAAAGACTCAAAAGGATCCCTTTGGATTTACAATTGTCAATCTCGATAAAGAAATTAATAGTGATGAAAAATTCATGTTTGCATCTCAGGTGGGACAATGTTTCTATGTGAAAGATCCTACAGTTAAAGACGAGTGGGTTGTCTTGTACAAGGATTCTAGGGCTTATATTCAACCTTCCACTAATGAAGAGGATGACGAGAGCTATATAAACAACTTCAATGAGCCAAATACAGCGATCGATGAATTCTCATACCCTCAAAACGTAGTGTTTGAAACGGATGCTCCAACAACTCGGACAGACATTCCAAATATTATCACAGACATTAATAGGAGCTAAACAGCAATTATTTGTAATCGGGCTTCATGTAACTTTTTTTAGTTTGCAAATTGTATAATAAAAACTTTAATATCACTACTTGTATCTCAATTACCTTTTGGACGATATAAATATGTAATATCTTATTTTGTATATTCAGCTTGCAAATGCCTACAAACTTGATGTGAAATGAAAAATTTAGTAACACAACAATACATATTGTTTTTATTTTCACCAAGCCAATTTGCATCTATGTTATATTAATTTATTTTCGCCAAGCCAATCCACTGAGGAAGAGCCTCCGAGTTCAGGAGAGATGTCAGGTATAACTTAGTTTAACTTACGTATTTTTATTCATGATATATGCACAATGATAATTTATTTCTTTTATTTTTATAGGTGAGGGTGAGGAAGAGCCGACTCACATACCATTATATGCAGATCCTCCAGTTATACTTCGAGCATACATTCCTGGGATTGAGCGCGGGCCCTTACCAGCATGTGCAGAGGGGTACAGACTCAAGCAGAACGAAAAATACATGCTTGCGAAAAAAAGATTAGATGAATGGGCCCCACAGATTGATGAGATTTTGTCTGATGCAAAAAATGAAATCAGACAAAGATTTGGTGAGTTTGATCAAAAACTTAATCAATTCCAGAATTTTTCTTCTTCCTTTTTTAGTAAATTCTAAGAGCTTAAGATTGATTAAATAAAAGTGTTGATATATCTATTATTTTTTTTGTAGGAGAAAAACTTTACCAGAAGAAAGGACGCCAAGGAAGTGACTTTAAAAAAAAGTTACCACCGGATGGTTTTCGAGCAATTGTGAGATGGGGACATAATGGGATTCCAACCGGACAGTGGGCTAATAACTTCAGCTCATACCTTGGATGTTTGATACAGAGGGGTGATAATGTGAATCCCTATTACGAGGCTTGGGAGCAGCCATTTCATGTCCTGGAGAGTATATATCGAGATTGTTGGGTAAATCTTACATTTAGCACAATTATTTTTCAATTCTGTCAATTGTCCATGCTTAACTATATTTTATTTTTTAGAGATATTTCAACATCGAAGACAATCCCGTAGGGTGGGAATTTTTATTTGGATACCAGGGAAAGTTCAAGCATTCTCTTCGGGAGTGGAGACATGAGATAAAGAAGAAATGCTTTGATTGTTTCACTCACAACTGGGAGAGGATATACAAGCGAGATAAGAGGGTTGAGCCTGAGCACTTAGCTGCACTTATAATATTGTGGGGCCAAGAGGAGCACCAGGTAAATATGTATAGTAGTTAATTATCATCAAGTTATTTATCTGAAACTAGTGATATATTCCATTGTATATTATACCATGCACTAAAATTCTCTTTGTTCATGTTGAAGGAAAAATGTAGGAGAAATAAACTTAATCGATGGAAAAAAGATTATGATCATCATACGGGGACTACTTCATTTGCCCAGATTGAGGATCAATTTTGTAGGACAACGGTATAAAGTCTTTTAATAATCATTGTATATTCTCTCCGCTTCTTAGAATATTTAATAAATAAAACTAATAAGTATATTTTTAAATCTCAGAACGCTCCCTTTATCCCACTACCAGAACTGCACAGGAGAACGATGGTTCAATTTAAGAAGGGGTACGATGACGATGAGAATAGGAAACAAAAGCTAGAATTGGCGAAGAAAATGCAGGTTAACTAATTATCTTAGCTCTTATTAGCCTGTTATCATGTTGGGAATTTATTGTTTGCACTCTTCTTTTGGTCATCTTATTAATTAGCCGAGTTACCATGACCCATTCGTATGAGGGGCTTGCTTGTTAGGATATAACAATGCATAAGAAATAACATATTGTAACATGATTGATCTACTTGGTTTTATTCTCGAAAACCTTTGAATTGCTAATGACAAAACTTTTCCTATCACCTTACAAGCCAAAGCACCCTTCAACTATTTATTAGCACTTAACACCCTTCTTCACATGTACTTTTATGTTGCACAAAACACCCTTCACATGTACTTTTATTTTACTTGTTCAGGTAAATATCTTTTATTTTTGAAAGGCCAATTCTTAAATTTATTTTTTTGACTTCTAGGAAGCTCTGGAAAACACATATTCTGAGGTTGTTGCACAGAGCCAAGAGCCCCTGACTAGAGAGCAGAATTATAATGTGAGCCATCTAGTTTGTGGACTTCCTAAAAAAGGGAGGACCAGGTGGATGGGAGTTGGAGCTCAGAGGGTGTCTACACAATTCCAGCCTCCGTCGATTTCAACACCATCGACTATGCCATCGGGGCCCTCTTATATGCCGCAGGAGGATTGCACTCAGCAGGCGATGCAGCTTGTTTCCTCTGTGATGAGTATGTTAGATGGTCAGATTCCCGAGGAGATGTGGGAGGATATTCAAGAGGAGCTTATGCGAGTGATCCAGCCTACTGCTACTTTTGCGATGGTTTCTAGGCAAATAATGAAATCTTGTAGATGGCGGGTTCCTACTCGGGTGCAAAGCCAGATTTTGAACTTCTTGGCCACTCAAAAGGCAGTTACTGGTAGTGGAGAGAGTAGCAGACAGGTATACTTATTATATTTGTACAACATAATTACACACAATATTATGTGATTCTAAATTTAAATTATTTTGTTGTTAGATTGGAGATGATACTATTGAGAGCACGAGTCGTAAGGATGGATCCGCCAGTGGCAACGCGGACGATGACATGGATACGGCAGATGACCTATCTTAGTGAGTTATATCCTAAACTCGTGTTTGAATATTGTGGACATCTTTATAGTTGAGATTATGATACTCGTGTTTGTATCATAATCTCGTGTTTATAGTGTGGACATCTTTATATTGTGGACATCTTTATAGTTGAGATTATGATACTCGTGTTTGTATCATAATCTCGTGTTTATAGTGTGGACATCTTTATATTGTGGACATCTTTATAGTTGAGATTATGATACTCGTGTTTGTATATTGTGGATTTAGAACTTATGATATGTGTGTATTGTTTGTTGTGAAAATTATTATTGTGGATTTAGAACTTATCGTGAAAAGTGAATGTATATATTTCGATTGTTTGTGAAAATTGATTGGATGAGAGGTTTAATTGGGAAAATTTGGATTGTATTCATTGCGAGAGCCCGTCAGCGATAGTCCTTTCCTGACGGGACTATCGCTGACGGCGTATCCTTGACGGGACGCCGTCAGCGATACGTATCGCTGACGGGAAATGGGGCATCGCTGACGGGAATGCCCGTCAGCGATACATGATTTTCCACTAGTGATACTAAATTATCAAATTAAAAATAACAATATCATCAAGTCAAAGAGACTATGTAACAATTTGGATTCTCTATTTCTTAGGTGACTCGTCCTAAAGAATTCAAATACGGTCTAGTGCTACACATCATAATGTGTGCTTATGACATACATGTAGGCTGTCTAAAAATCACAATGGATAGCTAATCCCTATTAAGCCCCGACAATGGAAGTTACAATCAAACGACTTTCTAATTACTACATCCGCATCTACAATCGCTACAAATACGACCTCATCTCTGAGATGATTGATCTTGATGGCTGCGACAACAACATGACTAATATTATATTAGAAACTATTAGAGATGTTGATGAGCAGTGTAATGATTTTAGAAATAAAAGGTTGGACTTAGTTGGTGAGTTGCTTGGTAGAGAGCTGTGGGCAAATATTCATCTAAAAATCACAATGGATGATTGATCCCCATCAAGTTCCAATAATGGAAGCTACAGTCAAATAGCTTTTGTGCCGACAAACGAAGGTTGCAAATAGAGGACTTTTCACACAGATCGAGAAGAGTTACAATTCAACGACGCTTCCGACAGCTGATGAAAACTTTATTCAGTGGCCTTCACAATCAACAGTGAGAGTTACAATCTGACAACTTTCATATCCTATAACAGGCAAAGATCAATAAGCAATAGCCTTTGCAATGTTATAATGGATGAGGTTACAAGTCAACAACCTCTCTTAAAAAGGTAGAATTCACTTCTGCGTTTCTCAAATCCAAAACGCACACCTCCTGTGCATTCTCCAGCAGGCACCTAACTCTGCAAACATAGAGTTAAAGCCTAAAACGCACACATAACGTGTGTTCTTCAAACAGACTCAACTATGTGCCCCAAACTCTTGACGCAGAGTTGAATTTCAATACACAAGCGACCTGTGCGTCTCCAAGTCTAGAACGCATGTGGCCTGTGCGTTTCAAACCTTTGACAAATGTTTAACTCTGCGTCTCAGGCCTTAGACGCAGAGTTAAGGCCCAGAACGCCAAATTAGGCGTTTGACTTATTCAAACACAAGTCGAACGGCCTCAAAACCGTTATCCCACGTCCTGAGGGATTTTCGTCCACTTAGGAGCGGATTTAGGGGTTAGTTATACCCCTAATCCCCCTATAAATAACCGACTTACTCAACTGAGTAAGAGGTTGACGTGTGCTGGCATTAAAACCGCTTAAGATTAGTAGATCTCGGCAGCTAAACCGCACAGAGGAGGAGATTTCTCTGAAGATTAACAAACTACTCAGTAGTTAGCAAATCAAATCTGAGGGGATCCCTTCATCAACGGCGAATCAACTTGGCTATCAACCGAATCTTCAGTTCTAACAACTCTGTTACAGAGTTTCAACTCGCTCTGAGTTCTGAAACTCCTTTAAGAGTTCGTAATTAAGCTTGCAATGCAAGTTAATTACACCAATCAGTTATTCAGTTTTCATCAACTCTTTTTAGAGTTTCCAACTCGTTCTGAGTTCTTTACACTCGTTAAGAGTTCTAAACCGAATTCATCAAACAAGTCAATCGTTCTCGTGAGATAGTACGGTCAGATCGTCAACGGAGAGCAAGTTCGACGCAAGCACTCGAAGGAGGTACTCCATCGCTACCAAGAAGAACCCAGTCTTAAACAAAGGGGAGATTCAAATTTGTTCTCCTCTCTTTTGTAATCGTAATCCAAATTGTAATCGATTTTAAGAGAATACAAGTCAATTTTTCTTTCATTGTCTTTTTACATCAAATTTTCCACAAACAAAGGATGACGACTCCACTGGGGACTAGCTTCTCTGACGAGGAAGTGGTGGCACAATCCGACGTTCACCTCATTGGAACCACCGTCGAAACTCTCGTCGTAGAGTTCGACCAAGCCAAATATGAGGAGGCCCTCTCCTCTGGTTCGCTTAGCCCTAAAGATAGGCGTGATACCCGCAAGATCTCTAAGGTCGTAACTACTGCTAAGATGCCGAAGAAAGCCCTCTCCTTTGGCCAAGACCTTAAACTCGCTCTTCTAGTTGCAGATGCTACACCCGTATCAACACGACGTGTAATAGGTTGTAAGAGACCTATAGTGGAGGATCATCCATCCAACGCCGACGACGCTGCGGCCAAGGTGTTCAAACAAGCTAAAAAAATGCCGCTCGACGAAGGAGAAGATCTATACGCCAAGCATACTTGCGGAATAGCCGAGCTACAGCCCAACGCGAAGATTACGTTTCTGAGCCTTTGCCCGAATCGTGCACTTCTGCTCCAGAACGCACACTTCGTGGCAATGAACCCGATTATGAACCTCGGGTAATCCAACTTAAACGTGACCCATAGTGGCGCGTTGTTCAATCCAGACGCACACCTCAAGAGTGCGTCTCAAAACGTGACCTTCAAAGGCACGTTCAATCATCTAAACGCACACCACAACTATGCGTTCAATCAAAACACGACCCTCATAGGTCTGTTCAGTCAACTAAACGCACACCACAACTGTGCGTTCAATCAGAATACGACCCTCAGGGGTCGGTTCAGTCAACCAAACGCACACCACAAGTGTGCATTCAATCAAAACACGACCCTCAGGGGTCTGTTCAATCAGCCAAACGCACACCACAAGTATGCGTTCATCCAAATCAAAACCCTCATGGGTTTGTTTCATCATCAAAACATACACCACAAGTGTGCATTCAGTCAGAAAAAGATCCACAGGGGTCTGTTTCATTAGTTAAACACAGTCCTCAGCCTCGTGTTTATAAACCTAAATGCGACCCTCGTGTTTCTTCTCAAGAACACGACATGGTCCGTCGAGTTCAAGAGAATCAACATGGATTTAAGGTTCATATCCAACCCACCCAGGTGCAGGGGTTCCATCTCCACCCTCACGAGATTCTTCCCAAGTCTCTGACTTGCGTAAGCTACTGTCGAGAGGAAGGCCAACACAGCAAGTAGCACATTCATACCAATGTGAGCGGCTTATTTCTGCCGTCCTCTCCGAATGCAGCTGTTGTTCACCTACGCCTAGGCAATCCGTGTTCAACAGATTGACGAATGACGTTAGACTTGCTAAACGACAACATCTCCACAAAAAGAAGACCTCTGAAATTGAATATCCCAAGGTTACTATCAACATGATCGGCAGAGGAAAAGCCTCGCATCCCGATTCTGATGAGTCACAAAGAAGTCATTCCCTAACTGTTCGGGAAATTTGTGATGAGTTCGAGGGAGTATACCGACACACTCGGACTCGGACAGGAGCTATCCGTTTGGTCGACTATCAAAAGTTAGCTAAGGGGATTACGCCAAGTGATGAACATTCGGCAATAGCCGAATCTCAATCTTCAAGCTCTGTCGGAGCACAAGAGGTTTCTGCTTACATTACGGGAAACCCCGAAGACCTAGCCAAAAGAGTGGACAAACATCACGTCATACTCCAAGTGCAACAAGAGACACTTCTTCAGATGAAGGATATGTTGGCTCAGCTCCTGGCTGAAAAAGGCCAAAAACCTGAATCTTCCCAGAGGACAACGTCAAAGGGAAAGCAGAAAGCACACAAACATTCGGATCGTGAGACTCAGAACCTGGAATCCTCTTCTGAAAATGAGAAGGAGATGGAAAAAGAGCTGCATCCTCAGTCCTCTAAGGTGGATGAACTAGAAGCTCGCCTTAACGCAATCGCCAATAGAAGCGAACTCTGTGAAGAAAGAGTGGTACGGCCTTATCCTGCTGAGTGGGATACAACTCCCTACCCACCGAAGTTCAAGGCCCCTACCTTGCAACCGTTCGATGGCACAGGATCACCAAATCAGCACATCTACTACTCTAAGTCTCAAACTAGAGATGTGGTAGCAAACAACGCCATCCTGACTCGGCTATTCATTGGTACTCTTAAAGGGGTTGCTTTCGAGTGGTTCATGAAATTGCCTGCCGGATCTATTCAGAAATGGATAGACTTGGAATGGATTTTCTTAGCCAGGTTCTTCGAGGATGACACGAAAGTCTCGGTCCCTACCCTTCTCGCCACCAAACAAAAGAAGGGAGAATCTATTAAGACTTACGTAGAGAGATTCGCAGCATGGTATTGCGATGCCCTTCAGGTATGACCCAATCAACTTTGGTTGAAACTTGCAGGCATAGCTTACAGACACAGCTCCTAGCTCAAATGGGGGTAGCCGAATGTCGCTCCTGGAGATAACTAGTTTTGCAAGGAGAACAAGCCGAAGAAATTGTTGCTCGAGTCAAGGCTGAAGAAGTTACACAACCCAAGCTGCTGCAGCAACGTAATTAGAACAATGCTCCTCGATCCGGAAAGGAGACTTTGGCGACTTACGCCAACACGCGAGCGCCACCACCTACCAAGCAAGGCAAGACACCGAATCAGCAAAGAGCGCCCAAGCAATATTCATTTAAAGAGCATGTAGATACCTTGTTCCAGTTACTGTGGAAGA